GGAGGGTTGGAGGCAGGCAGGCAGGCAGGCAGGCAGGCAGGCAGGCAGGCAGGCAGGGAAGGAAGGGAGGGAGGGAGGACGAGCGAGAGAACAAAATGCGGAGGAACGGGAAGGGAAGGGGGAAGTGGTAGGTGAGGGAGGAGAGGGGGCGGACAGGGCGAGAAGGTCACGAAGGAGAGCGAGAGGAAGGGAGCGGGTGAGAACGCTTCCGGCTCGTATCAGCGTGAGTTTAATCTACATATCGTACACCTCGTCCCCGAGGCTGATTTCATGAGCACAGACAACCTCCTGCTCCTCTCCCAAAGGCGGCTCCAGCGAGCAGGAGGTCGCAAGGGTCCCTGCCCCCTCTGCCTCTGGGAGCCGCAGCCAATCCAGGTAGGAGCGAGCATGGAGCAGGAGCCGCTCCATGGCCCGCAGGTCGACTCGGGTGTCCTGCAGTTGGACGTTGGGCGTTCCTCCGCCGAAGGCGAAGGCATCGCTTGCAGGGTTGTAGCCGCATGCCGGAACTCCACAGTTGGGCTCCCGGGTGAGGTCGCAGGAGGCAAGGTCAGGGTCCGGGTTCCTCCATACATAGTGCCGCAACTTGAATAGCTTGCCACGAGTCATGAACAGATCATTCAGGGCATGACAGGAGAGGGGAAGGAAGGGGGGTAGACGAGCAGGAGCAGGAGCAGGAGCAGGAGCAGGAGCAGGAGCAGGAGCAGGAGCAGGAGCAGGAGCAGGAGCAAGAGGACGAGCAAGAGAAGGTTGAGCAAGAGGAGGAGAATCAGGACTACCTGTGACAGCTCCCAGTGGTCGGAGGCGTTGGCATGGCAGTACATGAGGATGTCAATGATGGGCAGCGCCTTCCTGGCAAAGACCATGTTCCACATCCCGACCCCGTGGACCCCGACGAGCAGGTCAGCCCCCGCCATCACCTCCACCTGCCTGCCAGCACGAGGGAGTCAGGACCCTGGATGCTGGTGGGACGCACTCGTACCTGATGATGGGCATATCCTGCCAGTTGCAGACCTGAACCTTGAGCCCCATCCCCATGGCCAGGGAGGTCAGGTCAGCCTGGTTCAGGATGCGCCTCTCGTGTCTGCTCACAATGATCGCCGTGTGCTGGTCGCTGGCCTTGACTGCGGCTGCGCTGGCGCCGACGGCATGAAGTTTCACCATCAGGGTTCTCTTCATGCTTGTGATCGCTTCCACAAAGTCCTCCATGAAGGGGATCGTTCGCTGCACGAAGCCCTGCCAGTATCCGACCCGGAAATCCAACGGTTGGCCCAGGACGATCTCCCGGTAGCAGTGGCCGTCCTTCTCCAAGGACGCCAAGAACTTCACATCCTCCTGTGGCTCCGATGTCACCGCAGACAGCAGATCCCAGAACCGCTTGCTGTGTACCCGCCCGCCCTTGAGCGGGCAGTGGAACCCCGGCCATGGCCATAGGACCACCCGCTTCCTCCCTCGCTGGTCGCCGACAGTGGTGGTCATGACGTACAAGGGGACTATGACGTCCATAAGCATGTGGCCAAAGTGAGTCGTTGGCCCTTCCGGAATCAGGTAGACGGCGCCCGTCCTCGTTCCGCTTCCTTGAACTCCATCGGTCGCCAAGTCTTCGTAAGATTCAGGGTCTTGATTGACTCCAACTCTTTCAACGTAAGATTCGTAGCTCTCTTCAACAAAATCGACAGGAAATCGCACGACATCCATCTCCCACTGGCCCCAGAAATGAGAGCCCACGAAGAAGTTCTTGCTCTGAGGAGAACGTGTACGTCGAGTTTCTCCAGATTCTTCAAAGAAGACAAGAGAACGGTTTACGACACACGCGTTGCTGACGCGGAACACATTCACGGTGACGCTCTCGACGGCTGTGAAACTTCGTCGAGCCGATGAGACGCGGGAGTCACTTGCCCCTCCGGACCAGACGACAGTTTCGTCCAGCTCCTCCTCCTCGGGCAGCCGCAGCCGCTTGTCGAGGCCATCGTGCGTGATGAAGTTCTCACTTTCGGGAGCATAAAGGCAGGGCGATGTCAGTTTAGAGACTCCCGGGCGAGCACAGCCCGACGTCGCAAGAGAAACGTGAGAGAGGTTGAAGACGAAAGGGCTTCCTCGCAGCGGTTTGCCGAACAGGTCTACCGCAACGCCTACCTGGGGATCCAACGAGATGAAGCAGATCCGCAGCAATCCTTCGGATTGCACGAAAGAAACGGCACTGGAGATGACAGATCCGTCAAAGTACACGTCAAACCCGGGCCTCACGCAGTTTCTGATCGCCCTGCCGTCTTTGTCTTTGATCTGAAGGTGGAGTGTAGTGACCAACCCTGCAAACGCAGTCGGGCTGAGCGACGTGTCAAAGGTGAGCTTGGAAGGATCAATCTTCTCGCGACACGAGGTGTCATTGAGCGTAGTTCTCCCTCTCAATGCTTCCTGCACGGCAACATCGTCAGCTTGTCCATCCCAGATGTGTCAGTCCGTCACCTCCATAGCCTCGACATTCTCCATCTCCATTGCAGAAAACTGATCATCTCGGAATTGAGAGCCTGCAGGATCAGAGCTATCAATCGCCGGTCTTTTGAACTTCACACTGTCGATCAAACAGACATAGAGATCGGGGTCTTCCAGCACTACCGACACATCATTTCGTCCTGCCGGGATCGAAGAAATGCTGAAAGTGGAGTTCTGCATTGCGCAGTCGAAAGGAGAGGCATGCATCAGGGCCGAATTAAGGAAGATCTTCAATGTCACAGGTTGGCACCGCCCCCCGCATGCATCGTGGAAACGAAAGTCGAACTCCGCGCTCCCATCCGCCGACACGTCGCCATCCATCGGACCAAGGATGTCAATCCTTGAGCCGACATGATCGGCTCTGCATCGAGCTTCGAAGAGGATCAAGGTGAGGATGAGGAGAGGAGAGGGGGAGAGGACAGAGCCCATCCTCCTCCCTCTCCATCTCATCGCGTCACCCTCGAGCTAGTGGGAGGACAGCGAGCCGTACTTGCATGCCATGGGCAGCTCCACATCTCGCAGCTCGCCTCAACTGCCCTCTATGTATGTTGAAAAGACATCAATTGAAATCTAGTGATATCAATCGAACAAATAATGGGTTATGCTAATTAATTCACTGAGGGGGGCTTGAATTGTATATGAGCAAGAAAGTCAGAGGCTCATAACCAAATGGGAGATATGTAACGGTGAATAACCGGAGATTGTAACGACCGCTGATTCGAATCACGAGGTCGGTGCTGGGGTAGTGGGGGTAGGGGAGGAGATTTCATAAGTGAGGCAATAGGGTGGCAGGGGGAGGGGGAGGGGGAGGGTGGGAGATGAACGAGGGGACGGACAGAGACTGAACGAGAGAGAGGATGCAGCAGCGAGCCCTGAAGGCGGCTCAAGGCATGGCACGGGGGCCGCGATCGCCATTCGTGCCGCCATGCTGCCCCTTGATCATGCATCAGTGCTCTTGTCCATGCCGTTTCCTCCCTCTCCCTCCCTCTCCCTCCCTCTCTCCTTGCTCCTCGTTGATGAGCTCAACTTACCTAGTCAAGCCATGACTTCTCTTTAGCCTCAGTCACCTCCCAGATCCTGATTGTTGCTCCCTACTTCCGAACAACCTTGATTGTCATGTTTTTCTATCCTCGTGAAAGCTCATTTCAAAGACTTAGCAACATGGGTAGTGTTTAATAGTTGACTCAAACATGCTGGGCAGCCGCTTTGTTCCAGGGAAATTGTGAAGTTGTAGGTAGGAAAATGCAAAGTCTTGCATGGACGATGTGAATTTCAGAATGCATTGAGTGTAGATTGCCGAACTATTAAGTGAGAATGAGTTTTCATGCTTCTAGTGTTATAGTCTGGAAAGGTTCTTGCACTGGATGCAGGTCCTCTTCAATTGCTGACGACCCTTGCTAGATGCCCGTTCCAATTTGGCAGAGAAGGCTGTAGGAATCATATTCTTGGATCTGGAAGTTAAAGCTCCGAAATTCTATCTTGGTTGAGTTGAGGTTTGAAGAAGGGAGAAGCGTGCGCTCGAGTTTGTACAAGATGGTGGGATAAATCGGCAGGAACACCTTGAGGGCTGGCAAGATGTAAGGGGAACGCTTTCCAATACATAGTCGCAGTTGACTCTTGGCCTCAGGAAACGACAGCGAGTTGCAACAGGAGCAGACAAGGGAAACTCTAGCTCGACGTCTGCAGGTTGAGAGGGAAACTTGTCTTAGATAGGATCCTGAACTGTTTTGGTGCAGCAACCAACTACGTTGCCGTGAACAATCCGACTTTGGCCACTCTTCCTCCTAGAACCCTCTCAGCTCTGGACATTTCATTGCAGAAGCCTGATGCGGAGGCTGAAGCTGAAGAGCTGGCTGAGAATGAAGTCGAGGAGGACATGGAAGAAGAATCCCAGCAGGGGAAGGAGAGGGGATGCAGGTGCGGGAGGACCAAGTGTCTCAAGCAGTACTGCCAATGCTTCCGCAACGACATAAGGTGTACGAGCGACTGCGTGTGTTCCGATTGTCACAACGATGGGAAACACGAAGAGAAGCGCATCGAAGCGATCAGACACATCCGGATGAACAATCCGAGTGCCTTCAAGGGCACAGCCTTGGAGCTGGAGGACCAAGAAGTGACGACGCCGAAGGGAGGGAAGAAGACGGTCCGTGGCTGTCGGTGCAAGAGATCGAAGTGCCAAAAGAAATACTGCGAATGCTTCAGCGCAGGGATCCCCTGCACGTCGAATTGTGTATGCACTGACTGTGCGAATGGCAACACATTCGACGCGGTGAAGGACGTGTCTGTGATCATGAAGCACAAGAAGGAATCGAACAAGGATGCCGAGAAAGCACAAGTGACGAAACCTCCCCTCCCCACTGCTCGTGCTGCACCTTTGGCAGCAGGGACTCCAGGAGGCTCAGTAAAAGCCTCGACAGCAGCTGCAGCAGCGAAGGAGGGCTCCAAGACCGAGGAAGGGAGTGTGACAGAGAAGGAGAAACGTGAACAGCAGCCAAAGACCAAATCCTTCAAGCGTGCAGACATTCATATCGACGTCCCAGTACCCTCGCACGCTCGAGTGCCAGCATTCAACGACGCCGTCAAAGCCGAAGACGTGGAAGTTTTGGACGCCACGAATAATTTTTCTGCCCCAGCCGATGTGCCTCTGCAGTCTGGGAGAGACAGCGGGCTGCCGCAGTCAGGCAGGGACCTCACTGGAAGTGTTTTCGTCCCTTACATCTCCCCTCGGACCGGCTACTCACCTCGCATCCTGCGCGAGACCAGTGCTACCTGGGACCCCAACGAGATCCCCCTCTCAGCGGCCTCTAGAGAGGAATCCGCAAGCTCCACGGGGATGTTCCTCTCGCCTCAGGGGAGGTCAAGGTCGGGTTTGAGTATCTGGGACTCACCCGGGCAGATGGTCCGTCGATCGGGGCGGCTGCTAGGGAGCACAGGGAGCACAAGCATCTTTTCCAGGAATACGCCTCCTGTGTCCCCGGTGGTGACAGAGAGCTTCTGGGGGTCAGGTCTCGTCGATCCTTCACAAGACCCAGAGGCGATCCTGGCTGAGCCTCAGTCAGGGAGGTCGTGGGTGAAGCACATGCCCCCGTCAAACGCTTGGAAGTGAGATGCATTGATAGGATGAACTCTTCCAGACTTGGATGATGACATAATATTGTTTGTGTAAATTGATAAAACTTAAAAGCCTTGGCTTGTATTGACATCTTCTCAGTCTTTTCTATCTGCAGATGTGGATTTATCACCTCATTGGGGTATGCTTGTTACATTGATCAAGAATCTTCTCTCCTCCTCGTCATCCGTTGCTCGGGTCGAACCAGTTCAAGCTTGGCTTCCAGTAGTTGATGTCGTTGTAGTCCTCGACAGGTTCTGCTGGTTCCTCCGGCACTTGGGCTCCGAGGCTATCATGATTCACTTTCAGCTGTGAGATCCCCTCGGTTGCCGAAGTCACGTCTTGGTCTGTCTCCTCCCAGCTGTCCGGCAGCGAATGATCTTCCGTCTCCTGATGTGCTTTGTCCTCCTCGGTGAACAGCTCGTCTGCAGGAACATCGTCAACAACGGCCAAGACACATTGCAACACGAAGGTACCGCTCTCGTCAAAGAGCACGGCTGCCTCCGATGAGCGGAACTCCATTGAGGAGAATTCCTGCTCAAAAACATCCTCGTCGTCGCTGTGCTGCATGCTCTCATGTAAGTTCGCACTCGCCAGCTTGCGTTTGTCGTTAATGCCGTTGAGCTTTGCAAGTTCACCCTGAACGAAAGTCTGCCAGTCTTCTCTCTTTGTGTAGCTGCTGATCGACGAGTCGCAAGCAGACTTCTCGACTATGAGATTTGAAATCAGCCTGAGATGTCCCATGTAACCCTTCCTTGTGCTCTTGGGCTGTTTGAGCGCTTCGTCGTTCTTGACATGAGCTTCCATAATTCTATCAAGGATCTTCGAATCTTCAAATAGTGACTGTTTTATCTTGTCATGATTGGAGATGATTATTGTCTCCAAAATTCTCCTAACCAAATTATGCAAAAAGTTGTGCCATTCGTATTTGAGAAAAAGATCCAAACAGCTTGAAATTACGTTGAGCGAGACAAGCTTCATATTAATCTCTTCCTCTTTCAGCTGCACCAATGCATATATCATTTCAAGGATCTTCAGGCGAAACGAGCCCAAAGGAGGATCCAGAGTACCTATGAAAACTTATCAACAACCATTCTCTAGCAACCATGATAGGACGCATTCGAAACACGAAATCAACATGCGAGAGTCTCACCTGAGCTGTTGATTATCGGAGCCATGTGTGGAGGATTCCTCAGAATCTGAACAAATTCATCAAGTCTACGAGTGACTTCTGATACGGCCAAAGGAATTTCTGATTCTTGTCTATTCTCCGAAGAAAACCGCACCATCTCAACCAGGACTGATAAGCCATGATCCAAGGTGGATGCAGAGCCATTCAACATCTTGTCAACAAGTTTCTTCACAGATTGCTCAGATAATAGAGACGCCACGAAACGATTTCCAGAAAGCGAAGTAGACCACGAAATATGCTGTTGTTGAGAGATAAAACCTGTTAATGCTGCTGCTACATTTGCATGGACCTGTACAAAACACAAATCAGATTAGGTCAACTCATTTCGAACTCCGCCTGACCTCGGTATCATATGAAGGATCCAACTTAGAAATGAGTTGTCCGATCAGATCTTGATTGTACAACCAATCGAGATTGGTATCTACACTGTCTTCTGCTTCGGCGATAATCTGGAAATCATCATCAACACTGGAAAACAAACGATTGATTCAGTTACCTTCAAAAGCAATTCCAGGATTGAAAATGCATTTATGTGCTTTAAGAGCAAAGGCAAAATGTTACGCTGACCCAGAATTGTCAAGGTCTCATAGGGTCGTCTTGATACGAAAGTTGAAACAATCTTTCCGAAATAACCAGCTAGGAGGGGATCAAGTGGCGGATCTCGCTCAAGAAATTGAAACAATAGGTTGAGGAGATGTTCGTTTTCAAACATACAGTCATAGATTGGCGCGACATCTGAGCTCAGCACCTGCAAGCAATCAAACAAGTCACATCGCCATGCGATGGATGCTGCTCTTACCTCGCTGGCCTTGTAAGGGTAGAGATACTTCACGTTTTCATCTGACCCCTCTTCAGCGTCTTGAACCACATAGTTTATCAAGACTTCGATCCTTTCGGGTGTAGATATGCTGTTCAAAAGATCAGAACCCCTCCAAAACCAGAACTTCTTGTATCAACTCACAACTCTATCAATTTGTTGTTGAACTGTTTGCACTCTTGGACCAAGTCTTCTTCTCGTAGAAGCTCTTCAAGAGTTATGTCTTCTCGTTCCAGTAAGGTATCTATGGGTGAGACATGGGCAAATCCAAGACGCCAGAACATCAATGCGATATGTTCTGGAGTGAAGGATGAAAAGAGTAGGCGGCGGAAATCGCACGAATCGTCAGGAGGAGTGAAACGCGAGGACTTCAGTCGACAATTGATCGGATGCCAGAGGCAGACGAGTCGGAGGTATCAGGAAAGAGGAGGGAGAATATGAGCTGGTTTGATGATGTCACCGAGGTTGGAGGAATGGGAGTTTACCAGCCCAGAGGGACTTGAGTTGTCAAGGCCCACTGCAGTGGGAAAGGACGGGCAGAGGACGAAGAGGAGGGAAGGGGAGATTAAGATAGATGGAGAGTGGAGAGTTGAATGGTTGGATCAAGAGGATCAGCGATGTGTAGGAGGAGGAGGAGGAGGAGGAGCAAGGGTAGATACAAGGGGGCGGAGCAGGAGGGCTGGAGGGAGGGCGGGAGAGAGGGAGAGGAGGAGGCGGCAGGTGATTGACCAGGGGTACTTCCAGAATTCAATGGGGTATACGGTTATTTGAATGGGTACAATGAAAAGAGATGTATAATTTTCAAATTACAAGAAAAAATTGTGAAATGTTGTTCCAAATTTTGAAGATGTAAAATGATAAATGCTAGATAGGAGACCAATTTGACGCCCGACAAGACTTTATGGGGGTGGGGGTAGCCATGTGTACAATGTGAGGGGGTAGGTATATGGCAGAGGGTGGGGTCTTTTGTGTTGCATGCGGAGTAAATTAAGTAACACTTTGAAAAGGACAGCAAATGTACAATAGAAGAACAACTACGTCAAAGTTTAATGTCTTCGGTGACCTTTTAGAACTTGTCAAAGGACGATGAAGGGATGAAAGGATGAAGGAGATGGCAGGAAATGAGGGCAGGGGAAGGGGAGCAGGAGCAGGGAGAGGAGGAGAAGAAGGAGCAGGAGCAGGAGCAGGAGCAGGAGCAGGAGCCAAGAGCAGGAAGGTGGTGCCGCGAACGGACAAAACTTTGTTGGACATGCGCTTGCGAGATATCGAACGGCTGTTGTCATGTGAATCATCGATCAATGTGTATGAGGCGCGGCTCAGAATGACACCACAAGAGAAGAAAGAAATAAGAAATACGGTAGAAGAGCTTTGCTCCCATCCTAGGAGGTTCTTTGTCAAGTTCGCAGACGAAGGCGCGAGGATTTCTTCAGATACTTTTGTTCAGTTTTTGACCGCTTTGCAACTTTATCCACGATTGCTGACTGGAGAGGACCTGTGCGAGCTGTTTGAGAAGCTCATCGGGCTGCGAGGCTGCTTCTACTCCATGCACATGCTGGACTTTGAGGAGCTCAAGAGGGCGTTGCACATAATCTCCGAGACACTCCAGCTGAACGCTCGCTGCTTCGTGGCAGACACGTCGTTCCTGACGCAGACGAGGACGACGCTGTCTCGTGTGATGGACAGCAAGCTCCTCTTCCATCGGTACTCGGGATGCTGCAGGAGCCACGAGCCGCGGGTGAGGGAGAAGCCGATGAAGCTCCGCCAGGACGAGTTTGCCATGATGATGGTCGACCTGCGGGTTGTGCCAGAGTCGCTAAATGAGGAGGAGGTCTTGGAGATCTTTCTGCGCGTTTGGAGGGAGAGGAATGGAGGAGCGATGGTGGAGGAGAGCGTCAAGCTGCTGGACTTCGAAGGTTACGTGGCGAGCATCCACGAAGTTGCTAAGCTACTTGGTGTCGACCTCGGCGACGAGAAAGAGGGAGGAGAGAAGGAAGCGGTGAAAGATGAGAGGGAGGGAGGGAGGGAGGGAGCAAGAAAAGGAGGGAGGAGAGAAACAGGACAAGAGGAGAAGGCAAGAGGGAAGGGACACTCGAGGGAGAGGAAGGAAGAAGGGAAGGGTGCGGTGATGGACGAGAAGGACAGATGAAGATAAGAAGGAGGGGAAGGACTACAGTAGCAATGGGGAGAGGACAAGGAAGGGTAGAGCAGGAGGTGTTGCGACGCCTCCGGCCGTTGTGTACGGTTTGCTTCACTAGATGTCAAATCAAAACTTTTTCGCAGGCCCTCGTTCAATATTCTGCCCGCTTCACTCACTCCGTGCTCGACTTCACTCCTCTCCCTCACGCCCTCTCCTATCCTCCACCTCCCCCCGCCTCATGTCCCTCATCACCTCTTTCCCTCCTCTCCCGTCCCGTCCCCTTCCCCCCCCTCTCCCTCTCACATCAGCTTGACGACTGCGCGGCAGCGACCCTGAGGAGCCTCGGGGGGGTGGTGGTGAAGTCAACGACGATGCTGTCTGGCCGGATCCTCTGGATGTAGATCTTCATCTCGTCGTCGGTGAGCAGGCAGCCGTCCATCAGCGCCTCGATCGCCTCCTGGTCCATGTCGATGCCAATGAAGACGATCTCCTGCCTCCTGTCTCCGAACCTCCCGCTCCCAAGGTTCTCCGGAACGCGCTCGAAGTCTGCAAGGATCTGCGGGACGCTGTCAGGGCAAGGAGCCCCGCCCGTCCACCCCTCCCCCTGCTCTCTCCCTCCTCTTGCTCGTGCTGGCCGTCTTCCTCCGCCTCCTCCTCCTCTCTCCTCGTTACCTTGTCAAGCTCTTCTCTGTTCCTCGGCCACTCCGCAGGATTCGTCGCTACCCACCAATTCCCAAGGCCTTCAAGAGAGAAATACTGTGAAGGGAGTCAGGACCGTGGAGGCGACAGCGGAAGAGGAGGAAGAGGAGGAAGGTAGAGAGCGAGAGCGAGAGTGAGAGCGAGGAGGAGCGAGCGGAAGAGCGAGCGGAGGACAGGAAGGAACGAAAAGAGAAACGGGGAAGTGCAGGTGAATTCTCACATGTCCTGCATGTGACCAGTAGTGAATGTTCTGCGGCAAATTTGCGAGCCACCTGTGGGAAAACATAAACGAGACGAAAAGGGGGGAGGGAGGGAGGGAGGGAGGGAGGGAGGGAGGGAGGGAGGGAGGGAGGGAGGGAGGGA